CACACCTTCAAAACACATGAACATGCATGCTGTCTCCAGCGCCTCTGAGCAGCTGAAGTGGTGCATCACACGGAGCTGGCAGGGAGACAGACAGCACTGATGATGCAGAGCCCCCCACCTGCCCGGTAAGGCAGGCGGGAGGAAGCACGGGGCCGCCGGTGTCCAGGCTGCTTCGGTCCGACCTGGTGACGGTATGCTTCCCCCCGCCTGCCCGGTAAAATCTGGTCACCATAGGCGTGAACGTAGCATGACAGTTGCTAGCTTCCAGCCATGGTGTCCTGTACGAGCATTGGCGGGTCGATTCGTTCATGTGTCAGGGTACGCGCACACGGGGGAGGGACAAGCAGACGACCATGATTGACGTGTCATGGAACCAATCGTGTACAACGGACCATCTTTTGTGATTGGTGGGCGTTACTCATCGATTTCTCACTGTAGCGGGGGCCGTTTATATTTGTATCACTTCCAGACCTTCTATTTCACTGCTTGCTAAGCAGCTGTGGGGAGATCTTTAAGCCACGTGGTAAAAAATGTGCTAAAAAAAGATCTCCTACTGCACCTTTAAGGACCAAATACCCTATAGAATTATTCTATGACCCCTTTAAGGTCGGTTTTTCTCTAGAAGCCAACCCCCATCACTATGCATGGGGACAAAATATCTCCCCAGGTCAGCCAGGCCAACAATGATCCTTAATGACTGCCTTGGGTCAGTATGGACTCAACGCTAAAACTGACAGTTTGAGTAAAAAAACTTCCTGGATGGGAAGAGAAACGTCTTCAAACTTAGAAACAAAGTACAGTGGATCGTTTTTTAACTTTAACTTTTTGAAGTTTTTTATAAAATTAAAACTGGTAAACCTATAATTTTTCCTCTTGATGAGTTCTGGATACAGCAGATTGACAAAAGGAACAAAGTTTTTTTTTTATCTTAAATGCTACATTTTTTTTTTCCAATCTTGCTATAATTCCTGCTCTTAGTCGCTCTGTCACCTAAAGGTGTTTTTTTACAGTCTCTATACTCCAGTTAATGAGTCATCTGTTGCTAAAGTAGTTGATGATTATTTCAATAATCGATTATTAGGATTAATTGTTTCAGCCCTCGATCTGAAAGCAGCTGAATGCAGGGCCAGTATCGCCAATACCAAACCAATAATTCAACGTTATATAAACCTTTGTCCTTTGAGATGTTTAGTTGTTTTCAGTATTTGGACAACGCTTTCAGGAAACAACCTTTTTGTTTTCCTATGAAGTCTGTTAATCCTCGATCATGCGGCAGTGAGTGAGACTGGAAACCTGCTGATTGTTTACGGGAAGAGAAATGAGCGTCTTTTTTGGCGCAGCTCCGTGGTATCAGATCCCTGAGCTACACGGCTAATCAGTCTGTAATCCCTGTGCTGCTGATGTGACTCTATCATTTTCTCATCAATGCTGTTTTTGTCTCCATGTCTCCCTACATGTCTCAGAGCGGGGACGGTTGTTTCCCGGTGATTGAGCCATTGTTTGGACTGCCTGTTGGGCGTGTTTACACGGATCGCTGCTCCCAGGCTGCTGGCTGATGCAACCTGTCCTTTTTAATCTCCTGATCATCATTTGAGGCTGAAAGGAAAGAAGTAGTTCAAACCACACTGACATTTACGTTGTTTTCATCCTTTTTGTTGTTTTCTAATCACAAGGATGAAGATATCTTCCAAAAACCATTCTCCTGAGCTTAGATATGTTAGGAGAAAGAGGCTAATGAGTAAGGGAATCCATTTAACCCTGCAAGGTGATGGAAGTGACCTAAAAAAAGTGATGAAGACTAAAATTAAATTAAAGATACAGCATGTAGTGACATTTCTTCCAATAAATTAGGATTAAACTTGCTTTGGCAAATAGATATAAGTGCTGAAATGAAAGTGTGACACTGGTTTGAAGGGAAAAACCAGGAGCCAAATGTTTTCCATTAAATACACGGATGCTGTCTGGGAGTCAGACTAATGGAAGTAACTGAGCCATTACTGTGTCTTTCTCTTCCTGTTCCTGTCACCTCCTCCATACAGGTAGAAAAAGAGGCAGAAAAACGAAGTTGCGCTGTTGTTTTTTTTTTAAAGCTTTTTACTGCAGGTTTTCTGTATCATCGGGTGGAGAGGAGGACTGGAATGCAGAGCAGAGGCAGAATAACCATTCATCCAGTTCAGCGGATGATGGACAACAAGAGTTTTTTGTGAAATAAAACTTACCGGGAATATTTAGCTCCAGCTTTGGTTCATATGCTGTTTTCATTCTAAATTGGTTCTAATATTAAAAACAAAAACTGACGACTTTTTTATGCAATGGTTTACACACACATGCATGTTGTGTTATATTCATTTTTAAGGCTTAAATTCAGTCTTAAACCTGACCCCCATCACAGGACGTCTCTCTGCAGGGAGCAGTCGCTGGTCTCCACAAGTACCTATAAGCAGTGGTGGAATGTGTCAATGTACATTTACTTGATTACTGTACTTAAGTACTTTTTTTGACTATCTTTATTTCAGTCATTTATTTAGTTCCTTGTTCCTTTTGGCTCAGCTTAGAATTTTAATCCTCTGTTGCTGTTTTTTATTCCATAGCAGCCTTAAGGACTGAATCTGGACGTCACTGATTTAGAGATTTAATGACGTTCTACAGATGAGAGAAACTCAGAGCAGATATTATTAGTTTATTTCTATAGCGCCAATTCACAACAAAGTTCACAACACATGTCACTTCGTCCGCCGCTGGCTATAAGTCTCCAGCATATTCCTGGAAACGGTCCCCACCAGATAACCAAAACATGGCTACACCCTTAACTCTCAGGTAGACTTTTATTCTTGATCAATATCTAGAACCTTTGCTCTGAATGAAAAAAAAAAAGGTAATAAACAGGACCTCTGACAGAGGGTCTCCTGTAGGGGGAGCTCCAGTAGTACATGTTCACTTTGAGAGTGAAACCCATCACTGTTTGAAGACGTTTCCATGGCGATCATGAAGGCATTAGGGGGGAGTCTGGAAGGTCCTTTGTCTTTCCTTGAGTTCAAGTTTCTATTAGGATAACCATTCAGTTTGTGTAACTCCTTTTTATAAGCAAACAATGCCTCTGGTTTAGCGCCCCCTGAAGGCCACTGGCAGCACTGCACGGTATCTAAATGAACCAATCATCCTTTGTGTTCCAGTTCTGGTATCAGTTTGGTCCCAGAGTTCAGCTGATTAGCTGAGGGTCGGAGCTAACAACTGTTAGCTTAGTTAGCTGTGGTGTTGAAGGGGAGTTCAGACTGACGGATAGTGGCGCCCTGGGTCACATGACCCATTCAAAGGCGGATAGACTCTGAGGTCATAGTTTTAGAGAAGAGCAGCAAGGGATGAATATAAAATCTTTTGATACATCTAAAATGATGCTAATACTGGGGTCAAAGGTCACACAGTGATGCTGTGATCTGATTGCTCAGTTGGCTAGTTAGATCATTACCCTCAGGGTGGGACACAGTGTGCAGAAGGAGGGAACTACCCCAGACATCCATTTACTGTCTCAGGGTGTGCCTCAAGGTTCAGTCCTAGGTCCCCTTTATTTATTTATCACTGAAATCATGTTTTTGCTCCTTGTAGCTGGAATGAAACTCAGAAAAACTTGAATCTGAGTGAGATGTGCTTATTCCATGCGCCTAAATGGTTTCTGGATGACTTTGAGGCAGATGGATCTTTTTCAGATGTTTTGTAGCTGACTTTGAACCATGGAATTAGTTGGTATGTATTCATGTTGTTTTCTGTTGAGATAAAATAAGTTTGATTCTAGTGAAAGTAGACTTGGCCAGGAAACTCTCCAAAAATATATTTTTAAACTCTAAGTTTCTTCCTGATTTTACAACATGTAAAACCAAAACAGTTGAAGACGTTTCACTTCCCATCCAGGAAGATCTCGCCTATTCAGCAGGGCCAACAATTCTCCTTAACGACCCCCCTTTCAGAGACATAGACAGGTATGGGGCATTGCAGGCTAACAAAGAAGCCAAACGACCCCCATTCCAAAGGGGGGGACCCGTTCATCTGTTTCTATTTGCATGTTTTCTAAACTAAAATAAGGTTTTGTTGGGCTGCTGGATAAAACCTGGAACTCTGAATTAAAAAAGCTTTCTGAATGGGAAGAGAAATGTCTTCAAACTTTGAAACAAAGTCCAGTGGATTGCTTTACTTTTTTGCGATGACTATGAGCTGGATGACTGAGAATCTTCACCAGCAACAGGTAAAACAAACAAACAAAACAAGATTAATTGAAATAAAGTCAGTTTGAATTGAAAATGATGCTGAACGCTGCAAAATCAAACAGTGGCAACATTTTTGTCCAGTTTTTAAAAGAAGCAACAAGCTAACTAAGGACTATAAAGCATTCACATTCATTTTCAATGCTGACATTATATCTGTTCATACAGGAGCAGTACGATGACTTAAACAAGAAACAAAACCGGTGGACAGAAAGACTATCGCAAAGGGAACGCGACTGAAAACCACAAACAGTCCCGAATAACAGGAATCCAACTGGAAAATATCAAAATGTGAAAAACAGGGCATTGAAACAATCGTTAGAACAGGAAAGCAAACAAAGACCTAAATAATACACCAAGAAGATGAGAAAAGAAAAGAAAAGCCTTCCAGATCGTGCAGCGCCGTTCAGGGCCAGTAGAAAATGGTTTCAGGTGTTGCTGTTTTTCTAATGAATGCGTTTTAATTAGACCAATGATTTTACTGGCAGATGAGGCGTGGTCTCTCAGGAAAAGACCAATCAGAGTCTGCCTAATGAAGAAATCCTTTATCACACTGCAGCTCCAGCTGCCTCCCTTCCAACGGCTCATGTTCTGAAGAGCTGCTGTCATGGATGTTCTGAGAAAATTACACCAGCAGTCACAGCAGATAGAGATGGTCCATTTTGAAGATAAAGGGTTTTGATCTTGTTCTGTTATCTGATCAGATCCTAACTCTAACCTGTATCTTGTCTTTCTGTTTTTCAGGTTCTTGTTAACCTCAGGGTTGGCGAGGGCAGCCATGGGCCTATCACTGGATCTTTGAGAAGAGCCGGATTTCCTCTCTCTCATCTCTTCCCACCCCGTTTTTGCTGTAATTTACCAGTAAACCTGGAGGACTGATCCAGATCCAGAACCTGCCGTGACTCTGCCTTGTTTCACTCATCTTTAGATCATGGAAACCGTTTTTCTCATTCCTGGCCATTCAGAACGGCCTCTTCCTGCGCTGCTGCTGTTATTTGCCTCTTTTTTACTGATGAGGGGGTGCTGTCATGCAGCCCCCTCCGGCCCTGAGTCGGATTCCTGCTCCACCTTAGTGCAAAACCGTTTCTTTGGATTCTTTTTATCATCATCAGCATTCCCCTCTGTGCCTTGTTCCTGGACCCTGCAAAACCCAGATCCACGAAGGTACACTATTTTCATCAAGGTGACCAAACCCACAAGAGGCTGCAAGTCGTTCCAGCTTCGCACCTTCCAGTACGACTCCTTCTTGGAGACCACACGCACTTACCTGGGCATGGAGAGCTTCGACGAGATTGTGAGACTGTGTGACACCTCTGTCCCGGTGGCCTTCCTGGAAGCTGGGAAGCAGTTCCTACAGATGAGGAAGGGACCTCCTCAGGCAGGCGCGGTGATCCAGAAGGTCAACGAGGAGTTTAAAACCGAGTACCTGGTTGTAGGGAAGCGCAATCCAAGCATGGCAGCCTGTCAGATGCTGTGCCAGTGGCTGGAAGACTGCTTGTCCTCAAGCACGTCCAACAGACCCTGTGGCATAATGCAAACACCCTGCGTGTGTTGGGACAAGCCTCCTCTGCTCAGTGTGGGAGATAGCTGCTATCACAATGGAGTTTACTTGGAAAACTGTTTACCCAGCGGGAAAGAGAGCAGAAAAAATGGCGAAATAAATGGTGAGTAATATTCATTTTATGGTGCTTGAGAGGGAAAAAAATCCTTGTTGGTGTATCAACCTAATAGAGGCGCTGAAAGGCTGTGATCAACAAGTATCTGTGCTTCTGTAAAGCAATAAGAACATAGCTAGCCTTCCATTAAAATGCACTGTTTGGTCTTTCCCTGGAAGGTCAGTGGAGCTGCTTAGCATGCGCTCGGCAAGATGTCAGAGAAATGCTATCTGCAGTGGCCATCAAAGCGGAGAAAATGTGTATGATTTGTGAAAAGTGAGGACAGCTGTATGACTTTGCCTCAGAAGCACTCGGGGTGTTTTAGCTGCAAATGGGAGAAAGAGGGAGAGAAAGAGGCAAATGGAGGGTTTCGGGTTTCCTCTGATGGAAATCCACTCTGTGACCTTGCTGCGTCGGCACCGTCTTCAGTCTCCTCGCAGTCCAACAAGTGACACTCGATCGGCCTCAGGGAAGCTGCGGGAAACTGAGGAGAATCGAGTGCAGATATTGGAAAGCTGTGAAGATGGGGGGGTGTAAATAGAGACAAAAGAAGCTGCTAGACACACAGAAAGACTCAAACACTGCCGGCTAAAGTGGCCAAAGGCTCCTGTGTGGAAGTCTAATTGTCTGCTGCTTGATCCATGTGCCCCCCCCCTTTGGACAGGATGCGGTCTGACATCTCTATCCTTACTTCTATACTTTGTCAGGACTATGGCCAGAGGGATAAAACATTTCTTGGCTCCCCTCATCCCCCCACAACCGTTTCCAGCATCTATCTTTGAGTTTCTCTCCCTAATCAGCCTTTGGACTTTTTCCCTCTCCTCCTCCTCTGCCTCCTTCTTATCGGGCCCACCATCGCTGCCTCTACGTATCTCCCTCCCCGGGCTGATGGTGGGCTGATACTGAGCCAGTCATGGGTAGCCAACCAAGCAAGATGTTGCATTGGGTATCTCCTGCCTCATCCACCTCCAGTCTCCAAAGAAGCTAATATCCCTTTGCTCCCTCTGCCTCCTCTTCAGTAGTTATCATACTTATGTAATGCTGCGTATGGAGCTGAACAGCAGGGTGTGGGATGTTTGTGCCTTAAGGTGTGAAACTTAAAACAGACTATACCATTCACCGTTTGTTTATGAAGGGATAAAAAGCAGAGGCCATATTATAGCTTTTCTATGGCCTTGTGCTTCAGCCTACGCATACAGAACGTATTCTAGACAGGATCCAGGCCTTTCAGTAAACTCCTGTTATATATCTCTGTAATAATCTGGCCTGTCTCCTACTATGCCTATAAAAATAAACAGGAACCATCTGTTCATGTTTGAATAAAGCAATGTACATCAACAATTCATACAGATAGTGTTTACCTCATCCTTTTTGAGCTGGGGAAGTTGCTGTCGCCCTCTGCTGGTCGTATTTCCTCAATCATCCATCAGTTTATCGTCTTATTGGCTCCACCTTTAAAGAACACCAACATTCAATGTTGTTCCAGTTCCTAATTAAAAAGAACAAAATCAGTTCAGTTCACTCAGATGAAAATGAGCTAGTTCAAGATTACAGGTCAGATTAATCAAAGAATAAACGAAGTTCACCAACCTATAAATGAACTAGTTTAAATTCATTTGGTAAATGAAGCAACAATCCTCCACAATACAACCTCATATTTACCCTTTTAAATGTGTGATCATAATTTATAGAAAGAAATGGAAAATCCTGGATGCAGTCCAGGTTTACTGGATGTGCAGTGAAGCCTTTATTTAGCCGAATGACTCAGAACTTCAGGAACATTCAGGAATATTCAGGTTCTGCTGAGAACATCTGAATCAAATGATTTCTTCTGTTCCTCATTCAGTAGCAGATATTTCCATAGATAGCTTAGATGCTTTAACTCCATGTGAGGCTTTAAATGTGAAGTGTGCCCTTTTTGTCCCGGTGGGAACACTTTCCACTAAAACGTGAGTTTTTTTCTGTTCCAGTCTTCTTTGTTAGTTGATCAAACTCTGCCAAGTACAGAAGAGGATTAGGGCCGCTGGAAAAAAAAAGTTAACTGATTTTAAAATTTTATTTCAGTTTAGTATGGGAAAAAAAGTGAGAATTCTGACTTTTTTCTCAGAATTCCGACTTTAATCTCAGAATTCTGGCTGAATTCTGACAATAAAAAGTCAGAATTCTGAGAAAAAAGTCGGAATTCCGACTTTAATCTCAGAATTCTCACTTTTTTATTGTCAGAATTCTGAGATTAAAGTCAGAATTCTGAGATTAAAGTCAGAATTCCCATACTAAACTGAAATAAAATTTTAAAATCAGTTAACTTTTTTTTTTTTTAGTGGCCCTAATCCTCTTCAGTAGCCAAGCGCTCTGCTAAACTGGCATCAGAAATCCCAGCAGATGAGTCTGAATGGCGGCTGGCTAACTGAAATGGTAACCTGTCCTTGGTTGGTCCTGGAAATCAGCCTAAATACTAAAAAGCAGAGCAACTATAATTCTCACATTTAAAAAAAAATGTTAATATTATTATACTTAATTGAGTTTGTTTTGCAGAACGTAAAAAAGCACAGTTTGTAAATTGTAGAAATGGTTTGATGTAGGAAGTGTTCTCCCTGATCTGGTGAGTCTGAAGCAGCAGAGCCGGTGGCTCCATTAGAGCGACATGACGCTCCTGCATGGATCACTGCCTAATGGCTCCAACTGAAACCAGCAGTTTGTAGGTCTGGGAAGTTTAGCCTGCATTCTGAGAAGGACCGCTCTGAGAACACGTCCATGTTCCAGCTGTCCTCAGAGTGGACACCGCTCCTGCACTCTGAGCAATCTTTAACCTTTAAGATGAGAGCTACGCTGCTTTACGGCTATTCTTGGAACGTCCTGACATTCAAACAGTGCAGGTAAAAGGTCGCTGCACCAATGTTTGGTGTTACTAACTTCCAAATAAATAAGGATTTATAAATTCCAACCTTATAATCAGACCTCTGGCGCTTCGGTTCAGGAGGTTTGATTTGGCGCTTAGACACTTCCATTCATGGAAGGTGAAGGAAAAGGAGTGAATAAAGGATCAGAGGGAGGCGAACTCAGGAAGTAGGTGTCTCACATGATTGAATCAAAGCAAACTGTTTTCTGCTACAGTCAGACTTAAGTTTAAGCAGAAAGTATCGGAGCGTTGACCTTTACAGAAGTTTAACTCTGAGCTTCAGGTCTGGTTCTATGAGCCGTCCTGGTCTGATGACCTCAGGCTGTCTGTCTGCATCTGTTTTCTGTTTCAGATCAGTGAGCAAACATTAAGATCAGACCCAGACAGGCTGAGTTCATTACAGCATTAATCTGTAAATCTTTGCAATAATTCCTGTTGCTTGGATAAAGGGTTAGAGTTAGATATAGGTGAGTTAGATGTCTGTAATGAGGTGGATCATCCAGCTGCTGGGCAGGTCTGCAGAACGAGTCGTGGATCAGTTCTGATTCACTGCAAAAAAATCAAACCAAGTCAATTTTACTTAAATGATCTGGATTTTTTCTTGAATTTAGCAGATAAGTGCAACTTTCTGCCAATGGAATAAAAATAAGAATAATTGATATTTAAAATAAGAAAAAAAAAAAACTACAGACTTATTCTGGAAAAACAATCTAGAAAAAAGTAAACATTTCTTAAATTAACTGTATTTACCCTTGATTTAAATAGGTAAATGAGATAGTTTGGGATGGAATGAGTATTTTTACTCTTAAAATAAGATAATTAGATAATATGCACTTAAAATACGACAATGCAATTGTGATTTCTTATTTTAAATCTTGTCTTTTTCGATTCGCAAAATGTCTCTTTTATCTCCTCAATACAAGAACAAATGCACTTATTTAAAAGAAATGATCTAAAAACAATCTAAGGCTAAACATACTCCTTCTATAAGCAGATCATCGTATTTTCCCTCTCAAATTAAGAGTAAATACACTTATTTTAAGATGTTTTTTGGACAGAGTGCCGGTTTGAACGGCAGAGGAAGGAAAACGGCTTCGTCCTCAGAGGCAGAGTGTCCTTCCTTTAGAGATCTATAAGATTCTTCATGCAGCAGCAGAAACAGGAAGTTCCCTGGAGTTCTGTGGATTTAGGGGAGACGGTGTTCCAGGCGTTTAGCAGGAGATCCATGACTGGAGATTTAATCCCTGATCCAGCCATCAAAGGTTTCACTGATTTGGTCCTTTTGACCTTCACTGCTGCTCTCCTCCTCTTTACTTCATTTCCTGTCCACTGATGTAAAATAAAGGACATAAAAAAAGGTGTAGTGTCTGTATGATGTCACTAGGGGTCCAGCTGTGACTGCTGCTCTGTTAGATGCAGTGAGTCGGTCCATCCCTGGTTTAGATCGCTGCAAAGAATGGCCTAGTTAAAGTCTAGAGCAAAAGATTTTAAGCTACTGCTGAGAAAAGAGTCTCTAGATGTGAAAACAAACTCTGGGAAAGAATTCCTCACAGACTTCATCCAAATGGAAAGTTTATTTTTAGAAATGATGTTGAAATTAGACTAAAGTGTTTATTTTTAATGTGATTCAATGAGATGAACGTTTAGGGGAGCGATTTCCACCATACAGTACTGAGTAAAGAGCTTTTTAATGACTGATTTGGGGAGTGGGGGGGTTCAGTAGTTTGTGCTTCAGCGCCTCACAGCAGGCCTTCAGCTCCAATCCTGCTGTTTCTCTCCTCCTCTTGGTTTTCTCTCTGCTGCTGTAGTTCTAAAGTTTTATCCATCCTAATAAAGCAGCTGTTCCCACAACCTCCCAGTTTAGCATCCAACCTCAGAGGTGAATATTTGATGACATCACCTCAGTTTGACGGTTCAGTTACTTCTGTCTGATCGGACGAACAAAACCGGAGCACAAAATGTGACATGATGAGGACAGAGGGAGAGGCTGAGGAAGATGACTGCCGGGACTGGGCCTCTTCCTCCCTGTAATCTGAGGGGTTTCCACGGCGCCATAAGGAGCGTGGAGGATAGCTTCATGCCTCTGCTCCTCCACGCAGCATAGTGCATG